ATCAACTATGGACATTGTTCTGAAAGAAATAAGCTGGAGGGAGAATGAAATTCAACAGATTTGATTAAATACATCAAAAAACAATCTGCTGTAATTTTGCATCTTTGCAATATTTGGCATTTTTTGTTCATTTAGCAATATAGCTTGTATATCCAAACAGCCAAACTATTTATTACAATTATTTTTTACTTTTGAACAAGAACGCTCAGTCTTGACACAGCCACTTACGTCAAGATTAAGAACTTTGACTTTTTCTTTTAAGTAGTCTCAACATGGGGCTTAAATTCATGATCCCAAGACCCAGAGTCATATGCTCTATCGAATAAGCCAGCCAGGCACCCCAAGATTCAGAATTTTGAAGTGGTCAGTTGACTCATTAACCTTACCAATTCCTAGCATTTTCCAATTCACAGAAGTAACTTAAGAATTACGGTAAACCTTATATAATTAAATGAAGCAGATGAGCTTCCCTCAAACCTCAAAAATAAAGACTAAAAAGGCAAGGCAAGGTGGCCCCACAAGTGGGATCCGACCACAAGCAGCAGCCCAGTTCAGGAAGTCTCTTTGCCCTGGTGGGCCTGAGATTATAGCCCTCTCCCCTGAGATGCTCAGGAGACCAGTGGCACATGCAAGAGAAAGCTTCTCTGCCCCCACAGGCTGGAGAGTCCCTGTACTCCACATTCAGAGGCGTCAGGCAGCCTGGCCTATGGAAACTCCTTCTGCCCCCTCAGAGAAAACAGCAGAGATCACCAGGAGCCTCTGTTGCCAAATAAAACAACAGGACCCAAACAGCATAGCAGAGGCTCTGAAAATTAAACTGTCACTGAACCACAGGCCATCAAGGGAGTCTAGAACTCACACGGTAAACCCAAACAGTGTGAATGCTGCTTAAATAAAAGATATGATTTGAATAGGCCCCAACATCTCCTAATGTAACAACTAAAATATCCACGATCCAAATAGAATAATCACTCATCATACCAAGAACCAAGAAAATCACAACCTGAATGAGAAAAGGCAATCAACTGACACCAACATTAAGACAGATGCTGAAATTATAAGACAAGGATGCTTCTATATGCACTTAAAATTTTTCTTGAAATAGGGGCGCCCAGGTGGCTCAGTCAGTTCAACATCCAACTTTGGCTCAAGTTATGATCTCAACGGTTTGTGGGTTCAAGCCCCACATCAGGCTCTGTGCTGACAGCTTGGAGCCTGCTTCAGATTCTGTGTCTCCCTCTCTCTCTCTCTCTGCCCCTCCCCCACTCATGCTCAATCTCTCTCTCTCTCTCTCTCAAAAGTAAACAAACTTTAAAAAATTTATAAAAGAGGGACGCCTGAGTGGCTCAGTTGGTTGGTTCGGCTCAGGTCATGATCTCACAGTTGGTGAGTTTGAGCCCCGCGTCGGGCTCTCTGCTGACAGCTAGCTCAGAGCCTGAAGCCTGTTTCGGATTCTGTGTCTGCCTCTCTCTCTGACCCTCCCCTGCTCACGCTGTCTCTCTCCCTCTCAAAAATAAATAAAACATTTTAAAAAAACTTATAAAAGAAAGTTTCTTGAAACAAATGAAAATATAACAAATAGCAAAGAAATTGAAGTTATAGCAAGTGAAGTTATAAAACTGGAAAGTGCAAGAGGAAATGTAAAAATGTGCTAGATGACTGCAAAAGAATGGAGATGATAGAGAATATAATCAATGACCTCAGACAAATCAACAAAATTTACCCGATATGAACAAAAGAGAAAACAGCACTGAAAAAAAATTTTTTAGATTAACAGAACTTGAGGGAGTTGTGGGATAAAGAACAAAAGTTTTAAAGTTCATACCATGAGAATATAAAAGCAAGACAAAGAGTATTCAAAGGACTACTGGCTAAAAACTTCTCTTATCTCATAAATATTCAAGAAACTCAATGAATCCAAATAAAATAAAGTTGAAGAAGTCCACACATGAAGACACATAAATTTCTGAAAACTAAATCCAAAAAAAAAAGAAGAAAGAAAAAAGAAAAGTCCTGAAAGGTGTCAGAGAGAAACAACACATTACCTATAAGGAAATACTAATTCAATCAACAGCAGATTTCTCATCTGACCCCATGGAGACCAGAAACAGCATCCTACAGATAATGAACAAAATGAACAGTTGATTTTATAAAAATTCCTTGTGAATCTAGATCTAAAGAACCATCCTTCAAAAACAAAGAAATAAAGACAGTCCTAGAAACAAGAGAACTGAAGAAATGTGTTGCTAGCAGACCCACTCTCCAAGAACGGCTAAAGGAAGTTCTTTAAACAGAAGGATAAAAGAAAGGATACTAGAGAACCAGGAACGATGGAGGAATAGAAATAAGGGTACATACAATAGACTAACCTTCTCATGAATTTTTAGCTAATATTTGATGACGGAAACAAAAATTAAAACACTATGTGATGAGAACCTAAATGGAATAGCTTTCAGACTTCAACGTGGTAAAATGTTCATACCATCAGAATGATAAATCACGTATGTACACTGTAATACCCAGAGCAAACACTAAGAAAATTATGCAGAGATACAAAGAAATGCACTATAAATAAGCCAATATGGAATCCTAAAAAAAATAATCCATGGGAAGGCAAGAAAAGAAAAACAGAAGAACAAGAAACAGAGGAAACAGAAAACAAATAATAAAATGGCAGACATAAACTCTATTAATAATTAAGTTAAACATAAATAATGTATATATACACAAATTAAAAGGCAAAAATTAACCTCTTAAAAACCCCACAATCCAACTATGTTTGGATTCTATTTACAAGAAATTTATTTCAAACTCAGAGAAACTGGGGGCGCCTGGGTGGCTCAGTTGGTTGAGCGTCCGACTTCAGCTCAGGTCATGATCTCACAGTTCATGGGTTCGGGCCCCGCGTCGGGCTCTGTGCTGATAGCTCAGAGCCTAGAGCCTGCTTCTGATTCTGTGTGTCCCTCTCTCTCTCTGTCCCTCCCCCACTCATTCTGTCTCACAAAAATGAATAAATTTTAAAAAATTTTAAACCAACCAAAAAAACCTAAACATGCACTTATCACACAACCCCAGCAACTGCACTTGTGGGCATTTATGCCAGAGAAAGGAAAATTTATGTTCACACAAAAACACATACACTTTTCATAGAAGCTTTATTTATAATAGTAAAAAACTGGAAACAATTCAATGAGAGTGACTGGTTAAACTGTACAGTCATGTCACTGAATACTACTCAGCAATAAAAAGAAATGAAATCTGGACACAGACAACAACTTGGATGAATCTACAGGAAATTACACTGAGACAAAGTCAATCCCAAATATTACATATTTTATACAATTCCATTAATATAAGTTCTTGAAATGACAAATTACAGAAACGTAGAACACATCAGTGGTTGCTGGGCCTGAGGGGGTGGATGGAGTTGGCATTAGGGAGGCAGGTGTGGCTTGAAATTGGCAACACACAGGATGGTCCTGTTCATGACCCTGTTCTGTCTTTTGACTGTGGTGGCGGATTCATGTATCTATACATGTGGGAAGACTGCACGGAGTCAAATACACACACATACACGAGTATAAGTAAATCAAGTAGACTGTATCAAAATTAGTATTCTGGTTGTTGATACTGTACTACGTATGATACTGTACACTGTTAACATTGGGAGAATATGTATAAAGGGTTATTTCTTACAACTGCTTGTACCTTATGCTTTTCTGTTGTATGCTAATTCTCTACCATGAACAATGCAATGGATATCTATTGGTTCTGCCTGGGCAAATACATTCTTCTTCTAGAAAGAATGTATACTTTGCTTTGGGGAACTATGACCTACCCTACTGGAAACAGTCTTGGTAGGACTGGCCATCAAGATGTGTCACCATGCCTGGACATTAAACCAGCCAGGATCACTCTTCCTTAAATTAACCTTGAACGGAGTACACAGAGACTAATTCATCCCAGCTACAGATACCCGATGAGCCCATCCATTAGTTCCAGCTCTCTGATCTCTGCAGCTACCTTAGTGCTCTCAATTTCAGGGCCTGCTTCTTTCATTTGAGGTTATGAGCTACCCCATACTCTTCAAATATATCCCATTTTGCTTAAGTTCTTCACATTTGGTTCCTGTTATTTGCACAGAAATTACCTAATCAATATAAGGACCCCTCAAAAAAAAAAAAAAAAAAAACCCTCTCTTACCTAGTTTAAATTTTTTTTAAATAATTTTAAGTTTGTACAAACTGAATTAAAATTTTCTCCATAAGTATTCTAAAAACATGAATACTCTTGTAAATGAACTTAATGGAACGTAAATTCAGCTGAAGTTAAAAAGATTTAGCTCTAACTAAAAGTTATACGATGTCCAAAGAACATGAAAATACAATGATGTGGTTCCTGTTCTCAAGTCTCACAGCTAAGACAGATCATTATAATAAGTAATTATAATCTAACATTGAAACTGTTTTAACAGAGGTGTATCTAAAGTGCTATGTCAACACAGAAAAAAAGCCAATTCAATAAAGGATACAAACTATAAATTTTAACCTGTTCTAGCCTGGTTTTAAGTAAGTGTCATTCCCTTAGAGGATTTACCAATACTCCCTGTATGTCAGTCAGAGGATAAACATATTTTCAATCTTATGGTCATAGAGCAATGTTAGCTCACACATTTCCAATCCAAAATATGTTTATTAATCAGCATGAACACAAGGCATCCCAACATTAGGAAGTCAAATGATAATTTTAACAAAACTAAATGTAGATTGGTTTCTACAATTATGACCTAATAATGATTATTACAAACTGCAAGGACGCCAAAAAAAAAAGCACATATAATAAATATTTACGTGGTACTTCTACTCTTATTTAGTTTCCAGACTAATTGTTTAGTTTTATAAAGTAAAAATCATGCATCCAAAGGTGAATTCAATTAAACTTATAAAAGAGTACTTTATCATTATATATATACTTCCTTAGAATAAAGTAATACTTCTTACCTTCTGGAGTTGGAATGCACCCCAAGAAAATGAAAGAAAGAGAAAAAAGCTTTTAATTTAACAATAAAACCAAAAAATAAACTCTCCCTTCCCCTCCCAACAATATCCACAATTCCTCAAATTAGCACTCTCCCCCTATTTTGCTATATAGAACATTCATTTCTTCTTTAGAATTTACAAGTTAGCCCAAAATATCACTTTGTCTATAAATGCACAGTTAAACTGAGATAAATAGTCTAAACCATTTCAGCTAACAATTGCAGCACCTTAATTATGTAGCAGACTAAAACTATTAAAGCAGTCTGGAGTCAAATGTGGATACAATGAATATTCTTTAATATTCTTCCCATGCATTTCAATTTCAAGGAGCCATCATAAAGCCATCAGCTATGGACCCTAAGGTTTATCACCTTCCATAATGAACTCACCACTATGGAGCTGAGTAACAATGGGTAAGAATACTCTCTTCTGTTAATATGCAAGCATTTGGGGATTTTTGTTTTTTCATTATTAAACCTTTTTGACATCCCTACATTGTTTGTGTGCTTGAAAGCAGACTGCAACAGGCAGATTAAGAAAACACAGGCTGAATTCAAATGTTATCAACTAACTTCAGATAAATATGGTATCAATTTAATCAATAATGTTCTTCACTCTTAAACTGAGCTCTTTCTAGTAAATCGCCTTAAAGCAACTCAGCTTGGCAAACAGGACAATGATCTACTATGCAGAGATAATGACTTCTGCTGAAAAGTAGTAGAGAATGTTGACTTTATTACCCTTGCTACATATTTTACAAAAGAAGAGATGGGGAAAAAATTAGGTGCTCAGATTAGGTTTGGTATGAGGTAAGCTGAAACATATTTTAATTCCATGTGAAAGAGATTATCTTGTTCATAAGTAAATCTATTAATTAGAAGCAATTGGGACTCCTCCAAAGAGGTAAAATTTCAATCTAGCAAATGTTTATTGACCATGATCTTTGTTAGAAGATTCCCAGGTTCTTAACAATTTCAACTCTAAAGGAGCTTGCTTGGGATACAAGACTGAGACATTAAAAAAACAAAAAAACAACTCCTTGTTTGGGAACAAATTGGAGCACTACAAAACAATATAAAGATTTAAATGTTCCATTACTGTAAATTCTTTAAAAATGTAGTGGCCAGGGGCACCTGGGTGGCTCAGTCAGTTAAGCATCCGACTTCGGCTCAGGTCATGATCTCATGGTTTGTGGGTTCGAGCCCTGCATCGGGCTCTGTGCTGACGACTCAGAGCCTGGAGCCTGCTTCAGATTCTGTGTCTCCCTCTCCTGCTTGCACTGTCTCTCTCTCTTTCCCTCCCTCTCTTTCTCTCTCTCAAAAATAAATAAACATTGGGGGAAAAATTTTGTTTAAATGTAGTAGCCCTTTCAGAAGCCATTATTATAATAGCTGAGGTTTTTGTTCCAAATTCTTTCAGAAATAAATTTACAGTTAGATAGCAACTATCCTAATGTTATTATGTGTCAACACATAATGCAAGATTGATATAAAAAAATCAAGCAAATATACTAATCAAAAAAAGAGTAGGAAGAACTAGGGCTGTACAGAATATATGGTATACTAATAAGAACAAAACCAGAAGCAGTAAGCCTGGGGCTCTAGCTTCACAGAACCTATTGAAGGACCCTGATCAATCTCCATGAGACTTAATTCTTCAACAATAAATTGAAATGTAATGGTAATATCCCAACTATCTATTCCAGCTATAACATTCTGTGACTGAAATAAGGTGACTGGTTTGGAAAAGGGGCTGGGGAGGGGTCAAGGGTGAGGAATGCAATAGGGATAACAGTACCTAGGGGTACTGTTCATCAGGGCCATCATTTTGTAAACAGCTAGAGAAACTTAATTTGCAAAAAAAAATCCAATTTTTTAAATTATAAATTAAAAGCTAGGTAGTTGGCTACACTCTTTTATTAGCTACATAACTTATTTTCCCACATCAGTTTTATGGTGTACAAGATCCAAATTCATGTCTCATCAAAATTATTAATTATTGTATGTCATGAACCCTTGGGAACACTCATAAATGGTCTAATTCAGAAAATAAACAATCTGTGGATGATAAATTCATAATACCAAAAATCTTCCTAATTTCTCTTTCTTATTCTACTTATGAGTGGAAAGAAATAGTAGTAAGAGGGGCGCCTGGGTGGCTTAGTCGGTTAAGCGTCCGACTTTCGCTTAGGTCATGATCTTGCGGTTCATGGGTTCGAGCCCCGTGTCGGGCTCTGTGCTGACAGCCAGCTCAGAGCCTGGAGCCTGTTTCAGTCTGTGACTCCCTCTCTCTCTGACCCTCCCCTGCTCACGCTGTCTCTCTCTCTCCTAGAAATAAATAAAACATTAAAAAAAAAAAAAAGAAATAGTAGTAAGAGAAAAGGGTCTCAAAATAGTTTTCTCTTCTTTCCTAAAAACTCTTTCTCTAATATAGATATAAGAAGAGTCCAGGTAATGCAGCTAATAGGATGAACAAAGCAAGTTAGGAAAACCTGTGGGGCGAAGGGCTAATTTAGAAGGAAGACTTCAAGTCCTACACTTAAACATTAATGGCCACCACAACTGATGAAGAGGAGAAAGCTGTTCTACAAAAGACTAAGGACAGAAGCAGTAAAGAGTGATAACAGTAAAGGACTCATGGGAATGGTATCACAGCATACATAAACATTTGACTTAGGGAGTATTCTGTGTATGTTTCACCAACAGTACTGCATACTTAATGTCTACGTTTAGTTGTTCTCTTTTCTGATAAGCCAAAATATCCAATTTGCACAGTCTCTTGAGTTCTTCTCTGTTAGATATATACCGCATTGCTGAAGTAATAAAATGCCTAAGACTGACTTCAAAACAGTCTAGGGTTGGAGGACAATTTATAATTTAGTTGAGAATGCATGTTTTTCTTTCCATTTGCAATTTTCTAAAAGTAAAAATTTCTATTTAGGTAACTTTGTTCAGTACCTAACTTATTAACCAAAACTTGTAACATACGTGAAAGTACATCATGAAAGGAAAAGGATGCATTTTTGGATTCTGTAACATACCAGGAGAACGTTTTACTCACTGCTGTGCCAAAAAGGTATTAGGTATTAATCTCCGAAAATAGATACCTACTCTATACCTCCAGATCACTGTTACCTTTTAACTGCAATCTTGAAATTTATACCATAACCATGCTCTGCACCTGAATACCTCTTCACCCCCTGTGAGGTTCACAACTTTTTTTTTTTTTAATCCACAAATACATGCCCAGTGAGTCCTTTACCAAATCCTCACTCCAGTTTATTCCTCAGTTCTTTTCTATAGTAAACAGTAGTTATATAATCAGGAAGCCTAAAAATCATTTTTTATTTCCTTTTTCCTTTTACCTTCCACATCCAATCCATCAGCAAGTCCTGAAATATGTCTCTCAAATCCATCTATTCTCTCAAGCACTACTTACCTAAAACAAAGCACCACCATATTTTGCCTACTCTAGTAAAGCAGCCCCTTTATTAGTCTCCTTAACCACTTCAACTCCTGACTGCTGCAGTCCATTCTTCATAAATGATACTCATCTGAACATATATATTTGTCTAAATCATAATTCAGACTACATATCATCTTGCAACTATCAGATGCAAATGTTTAAGGCAAGTGTATTATTTCCCATTGAGAACTGACAACACATCTGGACAGAGCGATGCTTAAACATTTAACCACGTCAATGGATTCATACTGGTTTACTGTGTTCTATTCACGTCCACTTACTTATTTGGTACAAAAAACAGGCTCCAATTACAGAACTAGTCACACAGAGGTTCCAAACACAGTCATAATATGTTTGTGTCTATATCTATATCACAGTCTACACCTGTGATAAAACCCCTTACTGTAATTTTAAAATGACTGAAAAACAAAGGCTTCACCAAAATCTGGAATTCTATTCTAAGCCAAAGAAAAACACAAGGATTTTGAACTGAAATTTGTGGATTAATTCATGCTTCCATGAATTCCACAAATTTAAAGCTCAATCCAATTTCAAGATTTAAAATTGAGTGAAACTTGGTGAAGAGCAGACCCACAACAGCCTCTCTCTGGCTGATTGCAACTAAAACCTGTAAAAATAGAAAAAGCAACTTCCCACACAAAAATTTGTACATGGATGTTCACAGTAGTATTATTCATGATAGTCAAAAAGTGAAAACACCCCAATGCCCATCAATTGATGAAATGGATAAATAAAATATAGCGTATGCATGCAATGAAATATTATTTAGCTATAAAGGAATGAAGTACTGATAAGTGCTACAATACAAATGAACCTTCAAATCTTTATACTATATGAAAGGAATACTATATTGCATGATTCCATTACATGAAATATCCAAAACTGGCCAATCCAAGGAAAGAGAAAGCACAATACTGGTTGGCTAGGGCTGGAGCACTGGGGGTTGGGCAAGGAAGAGGAATGACAACTAATAGTGCAGGGTTTCTTTTGGGGATAATGGAAATGTCCTGGACAAATATATTAAATAAAAACCACTGAACCATATGCTTTAGCTTTTATGGTATGTTCATTATATGTCAATTTTTAAAAAGCAACTACCTTAAACATTAAAAATTAAGAAAGCTGGCACATTTGGGAAGTCTAACTTGATTTGTATGGGAGTATGTAGTAAAGAATTTACCTTCACCCAAAGAGAGGTCTGGTCTTTGCCCTTGGATTAAGAAATAATCACTAGGCTTTTTGAGAGACTTGAGCCAGCCAGATAACACTGTAATTTAGTGTAGGGGCTTTAAGCTACACCAACAATGTGGTTTAGAGTGAGGGGCTGGGCCAGACGGTACCAGATTATCTCTAGAGGGGCTAGACACTGAAAACTGGGATTGGGCACATGGCTCATGAATCATGCCTAGGTGATAAACCATCAATAAAAAACTCTAGGGGCACCTGGGTGGCTTAGTCGGTTAAGCGTCCGACTTTCA